TTGCTTTTGACTAGCATATCATCAACGTAAACTTTCATGCTCTTCCCAATTTGTTCGGCGAACATTGAATTGACCAGTCTCTGATAAGTTGCTCCTGCATTCTTTAGGCGAAGGAAAGGCATGACTTTATAGCAATATAGTCCCCTGTCAGTAGTGAAGGCCGTGTGTTCTTGGTCTGAGGGGTTCATGAGGATTTGGTTGTATCCTGAATAAGCGTCCATGAAGCTCAAGAGCTCACACCCTGCCGTAGAGTCTATAAGTCTATCAATGAGAGGAATGGGGAAACTATCCTTCGGGCATCCTTTGTTTAGGTCGGTGTAGTCGACACACATTCTCCACAAGACCTTTTGAAGCAGGAGACTTTCCTTGGTCGGATTTTTCTTAACAAGGACAACATTTGCTACCCATGTTGGGTAATTGACTTCACGGACGAAGCTTATGTCCTTGAGTTTTTCAACTTCTGCTTTCATCGCCTCGTATCGTTCAACATCATAAGATCTTCGCTTCTGTTTTACTGGTTTGGTCTTGGGATCAATACTCAAGTGGTGACAGATGATATCGGGAGAGATGCCCGGCATATCTTTATATGACCAAGCGAAGACCTCGGCGTTCTCTTGCAAAAAGGAGATCAGCGACAACCGAATGGGTGGTGACAAAGTGGTGCCAATATTCACCATGCGGTCTGGATGGTCTTTGGAGATAGAGATTTTCTCTAACTCTTCAGCGGGTTGTGCTTGCTGGGTGAATGAGTCATCTCGAGGGTCGTCGGGTTGACTGTTGCCATCCTGAAGACCCGAGTTGGATTCATCTGGACTGGTCTTTACGACTTGGTTATGTATAAAGAGAGTCTCCTTGGGGACAGGCAGGTGTTGTTGTTTGACTGAAGTGTTGTAACATGATCGAGCACTAAGTTGATCTCCCCTGATGTACCCATTGCCGAAAGGGGTTGGAAACTTCATCAACAACATATGTGTGGATACCATGGCCTTGAGATCATTGATGCATGTGCGCCCAAAGATGACATTGTATGCCGTCGGGCAGTTGACCACTAAGAAGTTAGTGGTAATAGTAGCTGTGTAGGGGCCTGTACCAATGGTGAAGGGTAAGTGTATACTCCCTAAAGGTTGCACGATATCGCCAGAGAAGCTTATCAGAGGAGAAATCGAGCGATCGAGCAAGTGTTCAGCTACATTAAGTGCCTTGAAAGCTTCAGCAAACATGATATTGACTGAAGCACCTGTGTCTATCAGGATTCGTTTCACATCAAAATTTGCTATGTGAGCTTCCACGATCAGCGGGTCATTGTGAGGGTAGATGATACCTCTTTCTTCCTCAGGGTAGAAACATATTGGATCCCAGTTAGGCTTTTGATACTTGCCTCCTCTGATGTCTTCCACGTGAAACACTTGATGGCCAGGTCTCAAAGTTCGTTCACTGCTTTTCATGGCCCTATTGGAAGATTCAGACATGGGTGTGCCGCCGCTTATGGAATATATCACATTCACCTGGCGTTGGTTACGGTTATCCCTTGGAGGGTGAAGGAGGAACTGATCAATTTTTCCTTCACGTGCCAAAGCTTCAATATGGTCACGGAGGATAATGCACTTCTCACTATCATGGCCATTATACTCGTGGTAGCAGCAAAACATGCCCGTGTTCTTCGTGGACTTGTAATCTGGCTGTCTTGACTTTGGCTTTGGTATCAGGTGAGCTATATTGGGGTAGATGGCAGCACATGTAGCATTCAAAGAGGTGTATGTCTCATACCTCGGGGTAGGGCCTGTCTTGACACGTGATTGGCCCACTGCGTTGACTGCCTGGGGGCGGGCATTATTGTGACGATATCCTGAGTTATCGCGATAGTGCCCCTTGTTCTTTTTATTAAAATGAGATTGGTGAGGATTGAAGTCATTCCTTTTGCCCTGAGATTGATATGTCTGCTGACTTGGCGTAGCATTAAATGAGGCAGGGGGGTGTGCTGCTACCATTTGGAAGGTTGAGGTCTTTTCATTCGGTTGGATCTGGCCTCCACTCCCTACTTGCTGATAAGGGGTGACTGTAGGGGGTTTCCCTTGATATGTCATTGCCTCGGCGGAGGCATGGTTGTAAGCTTGTGTCATCACCTCAGAGTAAGTCTTCCAAGTGTTGGCATTGATCATGTACTTGAAGAAACAGTTACGTAAGCCTGCAGTGAAAGCCTTGAGGGCGGTCTTGTCATCTGCCTCAGCGCAGCGAGAATACTCATGGCTGAAGCGGCCAGCGTACTTTCGTAATGACTCATCCGGCTTTTGGTGAATAGTGTACAAGTCATCTGCGGAATGCAAGCGATCGGTCTGGAAGATGTGTTGAGAGACAAACAGCTTTCTCTCAACTCTTCAAATGAGTCTACTGTCTCAGGTGGAAGACGGCAATACCAGTTTAAAGCTCCGCCAGAGAGGGTGGAGGGGAAGAGAAGGCACCGTTCTTCGTCGGTGTGTCCCCGGTATACCATGGTGGACTCAAAGAGGTTAAGGTGTTCAATCGAGTCTTCCCTTCCAGTATAGAGCTGTAAGTCAAGCTTCTGCTTTGTCTTCGCTTGGAGGGGAGTGTTGAGGATCCTTCTTGTGAGAGGGCCAGGCCTGGGTTGGTTCCAGTCAGGTATCTCGGCTTGACGTTCAGCCTTCAGCTTGTTTACTTCCTCAAGGAGCTGCAGGACAAGGGGGTCCTGAGTGGAGTCGTGCACCACTGAAGTTTTCTTCTTTAAGTCCCCATCGCCTCTTGGAAGTAGGAAAGTTTGATCAAGATAGCGTGATCTTTCTCTGGACTCACCACACTGACTTCTAGAGTGAGTATGTCGGAATGTTTCCGAGCCCCCAGTACCTTCATATTCTTCTGGGACTTGTTGCCCCTTCTCTAGATTGGCGGCTGGCCTGGGTCGTGGAAGAGGACCGAGTCTTTCAGAAACCCTTGGGTCATTGATCTTCGAGCTTATGTGGATGGGATTCTCTCGACGTTGCTTTAGGAAGTCTCGACAATCGCGATAGACAGCTTTTGATCCTTCCACATCCTCTGTGAGGAGGTGTTTTCCTCTACTTCTCCTGCTTCGGGTTGAAGCAGCTGGGTTGAGAGAAGTCTCATGTTGATTATCACATTGATGTGTAGCTCGATCCCTATCAGGGATGTTCGTGTCGGATATCGGCGACCCTCCGTGTTGGGGGGCATTCAGTTGATTGTTGACCTCGACAGGGGCGACGAGCTTGTGTGTTTGAGCCTGCCTAGCCTCGTGAAGCATCTCGAAAAGTTTTTCATATTGTTCCTGGAGGACTTCATTCTTCATCGCTATCTTGTTGTTCTGAACCTCTACCTCATCGACTTTAGCTTGAAGAGTAACTCTATTTCCTTCCTGCTTTCGTTGCTTCATACTAGGTCCAGCAGGGGTGTCATTCTGTGTGCTGTGGGTTCTTTCGCTCCCCATATCGGAGAGAGATGCTTGGCCAAAAGAGAGTGTACGAGCGGTGGAAACCAGCTTGACAAAGCTGAAGAGAGTGGGAATAAGCGTCGTTTCCCACAGACGGCGCCAAATTGATGCACAAAATCAGCGAAGACTTTGGTACAACAGAAAGTGTCAGGTTTTGTGACCTTCGCTTGGTTGCTTCGGTCACTAGTGAGGATAAGTACGTAAATGAATAGAGACAGAGAAGCAAACACAGGATGTACGTGGTTCACCCAGATTGGCTACGTCCACGGAGTAGAGGAGTTCTCATTAATTGTGAAGGGTTTACACAAATACATAGGTTCAAGCTCTGGTTTAGTGAGTTCTAGTGAATAGTTTAGTACAAAATGACATTAGAGATTATTGTGGGAGAATGATCCCTATTTATAGAAGAGAGTTTCTAGTTTTGTTCTAATATTGACACATGTCGTGTTGTGATTGGCTTCTGATGTTGACACGTGTCGTGCTGTGATTGGCTTCTGATGTCGACACGTGTCGCATTGTGATTGGCCTTCTGGTTGAAGGGAAACTCTTCTGGGTCCTTGACGGTATAACGTTGACCGGTGCTCAGTAGTTTCGGGATTAGTCAAGTATGGTACAAACACAATATATATAGAATTACATTCTTAAATTACATGCTACAATCACAGAGATCGATTCAAGATTAATTAGTTCTAATCTAACACCATACTTTTCAAACACACTAATTACAATTGCAACGTATATTGTCCTTCAGCTTTACGGATCCATGTGGTACTTTTTGGCTGTGAATCGAGAGATAAAATGTTGGCTGGAGTATATCTGTAAACATGAAAAAATATGCGAGCTTGGCACAGTTGATTATTCCTTCCATTGTGGTTATTCTTCTCAGAAAAACAATGAGATGATCAGTATCCCAGGTTTAAAACAATCATGCCCAGTAGAACTTCCAAAAAATATGACATCGTTCCCTTTCGATTATGGTATATATCTGTCTGCTCTCCAATCTAATATGACAACGTCAAGAGATCTTCCAAGAAAGATCTTGCACTGTTTTTGGTGGGGCCTGCGAAATCTGAGGTTTGTATTTGTATGACTTTTTCATGTTTGATCACCTATAAATTAATATGCATATTTATGTTGTAAACTCATCAACGCTGTGTATATCTATTTAACCCTCTCAACAATGTCGTCTTTGATGATATCTCTCCATTTCATTTTTTTGCAGTTCTTTTGGTTCAAACCTTCAGACCAGTTTCTACGCTGCAGAAATCATCTTTTCAGTTATGATCGCTATAATTGGCTTGGCACTATTTTTAGTATATCTCAATTCAAGAGTGCAACAGGTTGGTGCGGTGATCAGTACTCTGTTAAGAAAAATTTTTGTGTACTCATGTACGTAAGTATATTTCTGGATTTAATGAAATCGTCATGAAATTGCTTTATAGAGTTGGTAAACATGCAGGGGTTAGAAAAAATGGCCGAACAGCGCAGATTGAGACAGAAGATGAAAAAGATATATCGAGGCTTAATAAAAAGAATACGTAACATGAGCCCGCACCACATGGATTCACTGAAGAAAGTATGCAACAAGAAATCTTTTAATGTAACAGTCACTAAAGATAATATTCGTCATGTGTAATTAATTGTATCTAATTAAGCATCGGTATGCAGGTTCCAATTCTTGGCAGAATACGTGAAACAGGGTTGAAAGCAATATCTGAGCATCTAAAGCCGAACATGTATACTAGGGATGAGTATATTATTCGAAAGGGTGAACCGTTGCGGAAGATGCTGTTCATCTGGCAAGGCACTGCTTTGAGCTACACAGCTACTAAAGGCGCAACAACAAGTGTTTGCAAATGCCTTGAGAAAAATGATTTCTATGGAGAAGAACTTGTAATTTGGGCATTGAAATCTGCCTCATTTTCTGAGTTGCCTATCTGCACTACAACCCTTGTGTCCCAATCAAAAGTTGAAGCATTTTCAATCACGGCAAACCACTTGAAGTCTGTAGTCGCTGAGTTTTGGTGGCACTTTAGATGGGAGCTTCCTCCCTCTCGGTTGGAGTATTTTGCAGCTTCTTCCACACAAGCAGCCTGGTGCCGCCACCATGCAAAAAAGCTAAGAGATCAACTGGTTGGGACAAATAATTAGTAGATTAGTAAGAGCATTTTGGAGCATCGTGTGTTTTTTGAGTTGATATCACTTTTGTTTTGTGTGTGTTTTGAGCTGGTATTGCTTTGGTTCCTCTTTATGTTGCTTTACTCTCTTTTGGCCTTGGTTTCCCTTCAATGCGGTGATGTGTCCTGCGTTTTGGTGTGTAGTATGAAAAGTGTGTAATCATTGACATGCATGAGAACGATATTCTGAATTAAAAGCTCAAATTATGGATCATCTTCTTCAAATTCAACATGGAGTGGCGGAACAGTTTGTGTCCATTGATATTTGTAGCATAATGTGAGTAATGGTGCTGGTATTAATGTCGTAGGTGTCTAAGGTCACCGTTGAAGATGTACTGGAGAAGCAATCAGTTGGTGCTCGGGACAAAAATGGTAACTCATTTTATTCTGTGATCACATTTTATTTGATTTCCACTAATTGTTTTCTAAGCTGGGTCTTGGAAATTTGGCGTCACTCATTGGATCGTTTTCACGTTTGGGTTTCGGATTTGGGTTATTTTTTTGTATGATCTTATGGTGTTTTGAACAAAACATCGTATCCAACAAAAGTGAAATTTAATTGTATGATATGATATAGTTAACACACTCCAAATTGCGTACTTAACTCAACCTTCCGGACATTTTCGTTTTCAACATTGCTTGCCTCGTTACACAAAATGATGAGCTTTTCTTCTGTATCTGCAAATCACAATGTGACACATACGCTATAAACTACAGGAAAGTTAGTTTAGAGCAGTGTGCTATCTCTCCACTTACTTTAGTGTAGATTGCGGCTCGAATCACGGAAAGTAAAGCTGTTGTATGTATGTCAACTGTGATTTATATGTGAAGAAAAACGCACGTTGACCATGTTACCCTAGATTAGAGTCTCTTAATTGTTCATCTTTTGATTCTGATGCAGATTTTGGAGTTGTTGGTGTCCACCATGTCGGATTGTTGTGTGAAAACCTTGAAAGATCTCTCAGCTTTTACCAAAACATTTTAGGTAAATATATCAAATTCCTCATCTTTTACTTACATTTTAAAAGTGCATGACAAAATAGATGGATAAAAAATAGAAAAATTAATGAAAATGACTTTAAAATTTTGAGTTTTAACGATAAAGACAAAATAAAAAGTAAAGTGAATAGTACCAGGATTGACTTTTTAGTGTAAAAATATGGATTTTTGTTAAAATAAACAGTACCGGGAGCTTTTCGTTAAAGTTCCAAAAAAAAAAAAGGTCTTGAAATAAATGAGGCCAGACCACATGACAAGCTCCCCTTCAAAGGTGCCTGGTTATGGGTTGGTTCAGAGATGATTTATCTGATTGAACTTTAACGAAAAACTTTATTTTTTCATTAAAATGAATAGTATTGAGAGCTTTTCGTTAAATGTAGTATTTTTTTTTAATCCTGAAGGTCCATTTTTTCACGGTTAAGAGCAGCAAATGAGGAAGGTTTTAGCCTATAGGGGTATTTTAGTACTTTTATATCAATTTTGGGTTATAATTATCATAAATTTAACATTACGAGTATAGTGGGGTCTAAATTCTGATTCTTTTTCCAAATTTCCCCCAAAACACAGCGAGCCAGGAGCTGTAGGGAATGGTCACAAAGAACACAGGTCATCGACAAAAACCCAGATGAGCAGCTGCTCTTCCATGGCTTCCCTTCTCATCCCACCACCCACTCTTCGTCTCCAACTCAAGGTAGTTTTATCATTTCCCATTAATCCATTTTCATTTTTCTGATTTTATTTTAATTTCTTTTATTTAGGGTTTCGTTTATTTGATCTATTGCAGGAGGATGGGATCAGAGTCAGCACTGTGCTTACGAACTTATCATCTAAAATTGACCGGACCTGTCTGAGAAGTTGCAGACGTCAGGGACGGTGTTTTGTGACGAAAGCTCAGGTCACCGTTGAAGAAATTGTACTGGAGAAGCAATCAGTTGGTGATCAGGACCAAAAAGGTAACTCCTTTTATGCTGTGGTCACTTTGATTTGAATTCCACCAATTGTTTTCTAAGTTGGGTCTTGGAAATTTGGTGTCACTCATTGGATCGTTTTCACGTTTGGGTTTCGGATTTGGGTTATTTTTTTTTTTTAGGAAATTTTAACGAAAAACTTCTGGTACTGTTTACTTTACCGAAAAATCACATTTTTACACTAAAAAGTCAATCTTGTTACTATTCATTTTACTCTTTATTTTGTCCTTATCATTCAAACTCAAAGTTTTCAAGCCTTTTCATTAGTTTTTCTTTTTTTGTGTGATCTTACGGTGTTATGAATAAAACATCGTATCCACGAAAAGTGAAATATAATTGTATGATATGATATTGTTCAACACACTCTAAATTGCATGCATAAGTCAATCATTGGGACATTTTCGTTTTGAACATTGCTTCCTTTGTTACGAGAAAGGACGACCCTTTCGTACCTACAAATCGCAGTTTGACACGTATGCTACAAAATACTCCAAAGTTAGTTTAGAACTTTAGAGCAGTGTTGTCCCTCTCCACTTACTTTAGTGTAGACTATGGCTCAAATCACAGAAAGAAATTTTTTTGTATGCATGTCAACTATCATAGCAATAAACATAAATTTTTTGTGGGTGTTAAAGGTTTATGAAGTTTAATTGGATGGTTTTCATGTTTGGGTTTTGGATCGACTGTTTTCAGTTATTTTTTGTATGATTTTACGGTGTTTTGAATAAAACATCGTATCCAACAAAAGTGAAATTTAATTGTATGAAAATGATAATGTTCAACACACTCTAAATTGCGTACTTAAGTCAATCTTCAGGACATTTTCGTTTTGAACATTGCTTACCTCGTTACATGAAAGGAAGAGTCTTTCTTTTGTACCTACAAATCACAATTTGACACATATGCTACAAGCTACAATAAAGTTAGTTTAGAGCAATGTGCTCCCTCTCCACTTACTTGGTGTAGACTATGGCTCGAATCACGAAAAGTAAAGTTTTTGTATCATGTCAACTGTGATTTGTATGTGAGGAGAAACGCATGTTGACCATGGTACCCTAGATTAGATTCTCTTACTTGTTCATCTTTTGATCCTGATGCAGATTTTGGAGTTGTTGGTGTCCACCATGTCGGATTGTTGTGTGAAAACCTCGAAAGATCTCTCAGCTTTTACCAAAACCTTTTAGGTAAAGTTATCAAATTTCTCATCTTTTACTTGCATTTTAAAAGTACATGACAAAGTCGATGGATCAAAAAATAGGTCTTGAAATAAATGAGGCCAGGCCACATGACAAGCTCCCCTTCAGAGGTGCCTGGTTATGGGTTGGTTCAGAGATGATTCATCTCATGGAACTTCCAAATCCCGACCCTTTAACCGGAAGACCAGCCCATGGAGGTCGTGACCGCCATACTTGTATTGCAATCCGGGATGTGTCTAAGCTCAAAGCAATCCTCGACGACGCTGGCAAGCTTTTCTTTTCCTCATCTGCAGTTCATTTCATTTTCGATAACATTTGGAACGAATGTTTGATCTATGAAAGGAATGTGGACGGCTTACATGGCTGTTTTTGGCTGCAGGTATTACCTACACGCCTAGCAAGTCCGGGAGGCCTGCGATTTTTACACGAGACCCGGACGCAAATGCTCTGGAGTTTACTCAAGTTTGATAGCTGAGAGTTGCAGGCTTAACCTTTATGTATCAATCCCGTCGTGGTTACATTATGTTTAGACACACTAATTGAGATTAGTAGAGTGTTGTACAGGTTATACATAAAACGATCATTGTTATTTGGGCTGCTGGTGTAAAGAGCTTCATTACATCATATTATGATAAATTGTTAATTTGGATCATCTCCGGACTTCACTGTTCAAAGCCTAAGGACTAAGAAATCCAAACAGTTCAAGATAGAGAGATCCATGCCCTTAGTTTTGTGTAAAGTAAGTCAATGCAATGAGTTAATAAAGGCCGTCATATTCAATTTGACTGGTTAAGATTTCTTGGTTCTTGAACTTCAGACAATGAGATCTGAAGACTCTCTGTCCCTTTTTTCCTACTTCAAAGAGGAGATAAATGATGCTGCTGGCCGTCGGGGTCTTGGAAGGGACGGCATCGGATGTCCGTCAACTTCCAAGACAGTTTTGGGTGTCGTCGCCCGTGGGGTTTGACGATAGACGGGTATTCCAAGAGAGACGACATCAACAGATTTCAGAGAAACTAATTTGGACCAATTTACGGTTATATTTATTCTTCTCTAGTCCAATACAGAATCTAATTACAACTGAATAAATCAGAAACAGTCCTATTACACTCAGTGACTCCAGCCAACACCTAATACAATTATTTTATATACAAATTTTGTATGGGTGCGGAGCTCAAAATTAACATTTTGGGCGCCAAGATAAACGCTTTTAATCACTTCATCTGCAAGATCCTTGCCTAATCTTATTTAGATAGTTAAGTCAAACCTGACCTCCATTCCTGTATGGCAGAACGCAATGTGTGGTTTGGAGTCAACTCAAAATTCTTTAGTCTAAGCCTTGTCAACGGGGACACTTTGTGTTTCTTAATCCATGCTTTGATCGCTCGATACTCATATGTAAAACCGTCTGCAGCTACGTGTGGATCCTCCATGATTTCCTGCATTATGCACAATATGATGCATGAAGTGAATCAAACGGAAAGAAAATCTGAAATCGGTTTTTGCCTATCATTTTTTTGTGTTAACCAAAATACTTTACCTGAAGTATTGGACAAAAGAAGTGGTTTGGTGCATTGATATGGTTTCTATCAAACTTCAAGCTAGAATCTGCAAGATTAGCGAGTCGTTTGAGAACCGGCAAAACTTCAGTTTCAAGATCTGGTCTATCCCTGCATCTAAGTTGTGAACACCATAGTGCAACTCGAGCCAACTCCTCTGCTTCTGCAAGTGGCCAATCTGCAACCGACTTGTCCAAGGTTTCAGCAAATGACCCATTTGCAATTGCATTCTCCGTAACAAATATAAGCCGATTTGGATAGCAACCTGTCAGTACTTGAAGGATTATGACACCAAATGCATACAAATCTGATTTGGGCCGGACAGTGCCAGTTCTTTGATACTCTGGATCCATATAAAAGAATGTACCAGCGAGAATTGATTCTCTGTACTCAGTGATGTTGTCAGGCACGACGTTTGAAATGAGTTTAGCCAGCCCAACATCCCCTATTTTGCTCATGTAGTTTCTGTCTAATAAGATGTTTCCCGGCTTTAGATCTCGATGCACAATAGGATCCAGCTTAGAGTTGTGTAAGAATGCAAGCCCACAAGCTACTTCAAAAACTATACGAAACCGAATAGTCCAAGGGAGTGGCGGTTTTCCATTTTGGCAGTAGACATAATCTTCCAAACTTCCATTTTCCAAGTATTCATAGACCAGGCAACCAATCTCAGGACAAGCACCAAGCAGCAAAACTATGTTCGGATGGTGTAGCTGACTAAGAATTTCAACCTGCAAAATTAGGCAGGGACCATAATATAAGAAATACATTATGAAAGCAGCTACAAGGTTTGATCTCATGATATATTCAGCATCAGCAATAGGTTGGTCACTCTGCATGAGAAAAATTATCGGCATAGAAATAGGAACTAATTCTATGACTCAGGGTCGAATGGTATGAATCAGAAAGGAGCCATAAGATACGTTTAAAAGCAACGAGAAAGCATCAATGACACTAAACCAATGCAATCAAATAGGTTCAGAAACATTACTCAATTATCTGTAAAGCTTATATATACCTCTTTCAGAAACTCCTCTTTCTTATCAACTGCATCAGGTCGAAGAACCTTAACAGCTACCGGGGTGCGATCAAGACTGCATTTGTAAACTTTTCCATATCCTCCTTCACCAATCACATTAGCCTCTGAGAAGAAACTCGTTGCTACCTCTATTTCATTCCTACTGTATCTCCTATACCTCCTGTCACTTGAGAAGAGTGCATCAACTAATTTATTTTTCTCTGAGGACTCTTTCATGGCAGTCAGCTCAGCCATTTGCCTCTCATAAGCCTCTTTAGCAAGCAGAACCTTGGCCTCCTCAATCTCCTTCAGTGCCTCCAAATGCTTTGCTTTCTCTTCCGCAGCAATTTTTCTCAAAATTTCTTCACTTTCAAGGGCAGCATTCACTCTTCTTGTTTCATCAAGGCATTCGGAAGAAAGTAATTGCACCTGAAAATATAAACAACAAAGAGAAAACGGAAGGTCACTAAATAAAATCTTCTGTCCTTGGTCGGTTCAAGTTCATATTTAGTTCCAATTGCTTGACTTTTATCATGTTTGCAGAAGTTTGGAACACCTCATAATAACCAAACTCTTACCTTACTTTGGGCATGGACCAGCTCTTCACAAGCTTGTTTGTACATGGCAATAGTATTTTGCAATTCCAGACGCAACTGTTCTACCTGCATCTGCACATGTGACTGCACAATAATAGTTCCAATCAAAAGTCAAAATTCGACCAAGCATCATCCAAGGATGACAGATATAGCTGTAAAATTCTAAAAGCAGAACTAGGCAGTTGGTAAAAATGCTCAGCAAAAATCACCAGCTCAGTAATTGAAGAACCCGAGGAACTTCGATCCTTAAAAGAACTAATATCCAGGTTATCTCCCAAGTTTTGATGATTTCTTTCCTGATCTACACTAACATTTGAGGAAATTCTCATACGCGTGAATGCTTCAGAACTTAGGTAACTAAGGTCTGACATTGAAGATGCTCCATAAGCTTCATGAGATCTGGTTTCTACATAGGAAGAATGAACCCCACTTATCTGTTTATTGATATCACTTGAACTTCCCTTTCGGTTTTTTAGAGTAGACATCTGGCCAGCAGATCTAGTCTCTGAGTTGAGAAAAGAAACAGTTAAAGTCATCATATACGTATCAACTAAAAAAAGCACTTGTAAGTTGTAACATACCACAAGCAGAAGAAGGAATATCTGATTTTGTGATGACTCTATGTTTGGAAATGGAATAAACTTCACAAGTGTCGGGAGCACCTCTCAGCACAATTGGTGATACACCCTGTCCTTTCAGTTTCCTAAACAAGTTATCACAAGAAACTTAGTCTTTAAATCATTAAACAATGCAACATTCTAATCGAAGACATTAGTTGGAGAAAAATTAATACTCAAGAAAAGAAATGACAATTAGATCGATTCATAAAGTAGGGGGGGGGGGGGTTAAATTTGAGGTAATTTCAAAATTCATAATCGTGACCTCCTAACACATTCACCACATAAACGCTCACACAGAAGGAAATCAAGACAAGAACGCCTCGATTCACAGAATGTGAAAGATAATACATTATCACGATTCACGACGTATCAAACTGAGTAATTTCAACTAAAGAAACTACCCAACAGTAAATTCGCAACACTTTCAATAGGAATGCAGTGACATTAAATTTGAATAGTTTTGTCACCATACATACCTGGTAACGTAATTTGAAGAGTAGGAGCCGAGCACTAAACAATCGATCCCCGATTCAGATATGAACCTTAGAATCCCATTTGCAGGTTCATCATCCTCTAACACCAATGTTTCCACCTACCAAAGTTACGGGTTCTGAGTTAGGGCACACAATCATATTTTCAGACTGTAAATTTGAAGTCTTTACTTTGTTTACAATTCGAAACACGAGCATTGATGTAGGGCAAGTGCCTTCGCCCATGAGCGGTAGGTCTCGGGTTCGAGACTTGTGAGCAGCCTCTCCATAAATGGGGATAAGGCTAGCCGACATTCACCTCTTCCAGACTTTGCGTAAAGCGGGAGCCTTGTGCCCTGGGTCCGACCTTTTTTATTTTTTGCTTTTTGATTGACTAAATTTATGACACTTTGTAGGTTTATTTCAGCAATAATTTCAAAGATAAAGACAGAAGCTCACCTTCTTATTATTTTTGCATTTCTTCTTAAACGGAATAAAAACTTCCTCAAACTTTTGTTTCTGGTCCTTCACATACGTTGCCACCAAATTTGCATCCAGCTCTGTGATCGGGATGTGATCTCCTGCTGCCGGAACCACAGTTACCAACACCAAAACAAACAAAAAATCAAAACTTGACTCGCAGAGCAAACCCTAACGCTCAGCTACGTTTGATCATCGGAAAATAGAATTACGTTCGCTGCTCCAAATACTTCAGTTGCTGTTTGATTCTCGAGAAAAGTTTTTTTTTTTTTTTTTCAGCCTACGAATTAAGTTTTCCATTATTTTCTCGGCAGCCAAACAGAGCGGAGCGGGCCAACGGTCAGAGATTCAGTTGCAGGGAAAGAATCAAAGAAATAGGAAATACGTACATGGAGTTGGGATTGAGTTGATTTTGGGGATGACGTGGACTAAAACGAAGCGATCTGCCGTGGGCAAGAGATTCTCCGCAGCCCAATTCACGGCACGTCGACTACCCGGGCTCCCGCCGCTGTTAACCGCCACCGCCACGGACGACATCGCCACCACAGCAGAGCAACTGGCGCCCGCGCTAGGAGATTCAGCCGCGTCTTCTTCTTTGGGTCATAGCCACGTTCACTTCTCTTGGGATGACTGCCGCCCGCGCTACGAGATTCAGCCGCCTTTTCGTCTTCGGGTCAAAGCCGCTTTTACTTCTCTTGGGATGATTAAGTGCAAAACATATTTAGTTAAGGGTGTATGGTAAATTTATTCAAAATGTTAAACGTACCGCGTTTGTTTGTTTTTATTTAAATAATTATTTGGTAATGGGACAGCGATGAATGTGAGAGGAATCTTTATTGATTTATATTTTTAGGTCGTGGAATCTTTATTTATTAGAAATTTTAACGAAAAACTTTTGGTATTGTTCAT